ATCCATTGTGGTTTGAGAAGGATTATTATCATGCTGCGCCTCAGCCATGCTGTAGGTCATTAAATTGAAATCCAATACAAACATTCTCCTCCTGCAGTGTGTGATAACTTCCACCAGGTCAAAGATGGCTGACAGACGCTTCTAAAGGCTTTGCCTCTGAGCAGCCAAGCTGCCAAAGAGGTTCCAATCCCTCTTACCCCTGACATAACTGTTCCTGGCTCCCACTACCTCACTTTTATAGACCCGGTGTCAGACTGGCGGAGCCAGGTTGCCGAGTTCAAATCAGTCGAGCAACAAAAGACGTCAGCGGCACCTTCCGCCTCCTCAAAGCTCGGCCGAGGCACAATGAAGTGGAAGTAACTGAGTCGAAGCTCTAAATCAATCACACTATTTGACTAAATACACTCTTATGTGCAAAGGGAGTAGAAGCATGGAAATTTCTGGTCAGTACAGAGCTACCTCACTCAGACGTTACTGCAAACCTTTCATACTTTTCATTTTTGGATTGCTTCCACACAAACTGCGTCACGGAACACTCAAAAGCCGTTTTCATTGAAAAGGCCTCACCTGCACATGAAAGAGTCACATTTGAGGATAGAAATAAACCACAACATGTAATCGAAAGAGTGGAGAGGGAGCCTGGTGGTGAGGGTTAAAGGGGGATGAAAGCAAATGTTCCACCTCAGCAGGATGGTAGAGCACAGCGGCTGCTAGAACAGAGCTCTCTGTTGTCCTCCAGCCCTTTCTGCCGCTAAGGCACTTTAGCTGCCGGGGACCAGCAGCTTCTATTGAACAGGAAACACCAAAGAGCATTTAGAATGAGCCGCATATAATTCGAGGAAAAAAAGAAAAAAAGAGAGGCCAAACAACGTCGTGTTGAAGTTGCATTGTACTTGCATTTATTTTCCAATATATATTCACATTCATAGCAATTTCACTACAGCAAAGAAACTATTTCATTTCTACAGTCATGGAAGAAATAAAACTCCCAAGTGAAAGTCAAGGACAACAAGGTAATGTTTGTTATAAAAAGGAAAATATATCTCACAAAAGTCAAATGATGCAATGTAATGGGCCTTTGACAATAAGACTTAAGTCTTTTATGTGAAATAAACTTGGCTTCTCTGACAGATGAAAGACCAAAATCACTTTTGGGGGTTTCTTTCTCTGAAAATGAACGAATAACACTTTTATGCATGATTTATACCTTAAGGTTCATAATACATTAAAAGAAAAGAATCCCTTCTTAAGAGAAATAGTGATTCTCACATGTGGATTTGTCACTTTCAAAACAATATCCTTTGTTTCACTCCAAGAAAAATGAAGGAAAATATAGCATACTCTTCAGAGGATACAGTACTGATTGAGCCTTTGTTTTAAGAAAGAGTTTTTAAGAGCCTTACCCTGGGTTTCCAAAAGTACTGCTGAGATTAAACTCGAAGAGAAGAAGGTAGCTTGACATACTTCTGTCAAGCTCATACTGATGCTGGAGGAGAGTGGTCATTACTGACTACTGTCAGTAGTAAAACACCTGGGTGCGTAGTGGTTAAGTCTTGACGAGAGGGTTTTAAACCTATCCGTCATCTAAGAGTAAAGACCTTAAAACTTTCCAGCTCTATGTTCTGAATGTCACCCGCTGATGATCATGAGCACAGCGCATTAACAGCAAAGGTTTCAAATCAATTATCACGACTATAAAAGACCTAAAAGACCATTTTTATTTTTTATTTTAAAAAATCTAAAAGAAAAGTGCCAAGTTATTCAGCGGACTGAAACCCACAGGCCCCTTTTATGCTGGAGCAGCTTCTGGTTCCAGATCGTTTTACGCTGCGGAGGCCAAAGCTCTACTGGCCTCCCCGAAGCTCTCCCAGGTTCCCTTTTGTCTGCGTCCACAAAGCCGGGAACAACAGGGCTGTTGACAGGCTGAGGTAAAGTGATGCGCCTGCTGCTCCACCATCTGCGGGGGGGGGGGGGGCAGCTAACCTGCCGGGTGGAGAGACGGCCCTCACCTGCGTGTCACGTTCCACCTGCTGGTCTAAATCCAGCCACAACAGCGCCCAATAATAACTTTCTTACAAAATGGAAGACAGAATGATTTGGAGGAGGGGGTTCAGTCGTCGACAAAACCAAAGGTTTTTTTGATACAGTGAGGGGCCGTAATGCTTTGGGTTAGGTTACCTGTGCTGAAACCCATCCATCGGTCTCAGAATACCTCACCTACAAAAGACCGGAAGAGTCTAAACCAGGAGCCTTTTTCAAGCACGATAAAAAGACAACGGGGCTTACATAAACTTCCCACATTGGAAGGATGAGTAAGACTGCCTGACTAAACACTGGCAACACCTACTGGCTTTACTTGATACCTAGCTACTCGACAGAGACAAACTCATGTCGTCCAGCACACTTTTGAGGATTGATTTTGACGCTAAGATGCATGTATTTGTTGTCGTCGGTCCGCGCCAAGCTCTGAGGACAAAACGAAACACGGAACAGAGCTGACAAAGCAGAAAGACGACTGACCGAGCAGAAATGTCAGACTGATGGGGCGAAAGAAGATTGAGGAACTGGTTTGTCTAAAAACGGCGACGTGACCTAAAAGTTCTTTTTGGTCGAAGCAAATAGTTGCTGGCGTTTGAAAAAACTTGCGGGTGTCAACACCATGTCCTGCCCACAGACCTGTAGTGAAGGCAGACAGGACACAAAAATATATTTGCAGTCATGTGCAGGTTTCTTTTGGTGTTACTGAGGGCTCTGTGGGTCAGTGACCCAGAAGAAGTATAATTTTCCACGTCCGTTTGTCCCATAAACAGCACGCATATGGCTCACTTCACACCAACTGGCCTCACCTCCCTCCCCGTTTAACACGTCACTAAAGGATTACGTGATAAGGGAACAATTGTGGAGGTCTATTGTATCACTTCTTTCATAATTTCAGAGACACACTAACTTCTATTTCATTGGGGAATTGGGTTAAAATCCGTAGGGGACTCTCAGAAAAAACTCTGAGCATAACAAGTCACAAACAATATTATACTCTGACCTGTTTTGCAGCGGACTAAATTTTGAATTCAGTCAGAAAGCCGTAGAACGAAAACGATTCAATCTAGCTCTTAAGCTATATAAAATAAAAACAACTGTAAGGTTTTTTGCGTTTTTTGCCCGTGAACCAGATTTTTTTCCCCGTGATCTGACATAACGTCTGAGGGAGAGATGTGCTGATATGCACTGAGCCAGATGATTGTGGTTGTGGTTGAACAGAACGCCATCTATTCATGCACGGTTTCTGACATTAATACTTCCAATTCCTCTAAGTATGATTTTCTGGTTTTCTCCTTAACACAAAACACATAATATTACCAAATACAGCATAATGCCACTGAGATACGTGTTAGAAGGGGAAGCATTTCCAGCACTCTAAAGGATCAAGTCAAAATATCCCACTGAGGGGTTTGTGCCCAGCTAAGATAACTTAAACTGACAACATGTCTGGATTATGCAACAAGGTGACGGGTGTGATTAGAGGGTTTAAGAGCCTTGTGAGAGTATGTTACACATTTCCTGTATTGACTTGTCACAACTAGACACACAGATGCTCACTCAACAGTTACGGCAAGGGAAACAACCACATTCATCATGCAAACAAACGCAAACACATGCATTAATGTAGATCACTGAGAAGTTACACTAAGAGTCGTATGTGTTCAGTATGACACTTTGTTTTAAAGCGATCACTTGCAGAGGGTGGGACAAAGGAAAGGAGAGGATGGAGGAAAATGGCTGACGGCTGAAAAGCAAGCTATGACCTGACCTGTCGGGGATTAACTGCGGTAAGGATCAAAGCTGATGAAGTGTCTCGTAAGAGGGAATTATTGGGAATAAGAGAATAACTGTTCCCTAACACGACATTCCTCTTCTTTGTTTGTTCTCTGAGCCAGACGGCCCATTGTTGAAAGAATTGTAAGCATCTTTGTTTGCATGTTGGTATGAGTGAGTGAATGTCTTCTGAGGCCCAGACAGACACACTCACACACACATATATTGGATCTTTTTTAAAAATCTTTAAAAAACCGATTCTGGCCTGTAACATAACCCTTTTTTTCAGCTTTCGTAACATGGTAATGCGCAGCATGGGTCTGCTGATCTAGTCTAGCAATATCATCCCCTTGAACTTTTCCTAATAACTGAACCAGCAGGAGCTGCAGGTGTCATGTGTGTCTATGCTGACATTTGCACCTGTGTTTCTAAGAAAAGTGGCTGCAGGCAAAACAAATTTCTGGCAGACTTTACGGAGACGCAGGTACACTGAGCAGCGAGGTACAGCGTGTACAGGAGTGTGCGGTTGTGTGTCCTGTAATCTCCACATGGCAGCAAAATATCAATACAAACCATCCTCTGTGTTTCCTAATGTTAGCATTCGATCTGGAAAGCTATAATACTTTTTTATTGCATAACCCTTCTTTGTCACCTCTTACCTTTAGACTCTGCCGTTCTGATTTTGAGCACCTAGTTATTCAAGGGCGTCCTAATAAGAAAATAAATAATTCATGACAACAAAAGAAAAAGGCTGTGAGGGTAAATAGAGTGCACAAAGGCAGAGCGGCCGCGAGTGAAATGGAGGGAACTCCAGACAAGAAAAAAAGAAAAAAAGAAAATGGGGGTGGATATGCACCTGACTTTTAGAATAGCACCCTTAATGCAGGGAATCGCAGACCAAGGGAGGGGAAAAGGCTCAATTAAAAAAAGGGAAAAACATCCCTTTTGAACAAGGTGGTAGGCATGGAAACAACATAATGCAATAAATGTTAAGTTGGGTTATCAGACCACTTAGATTAAAATTCTGTGCTGGGACTCAGTGTGGCGACTGT